TACATATACAATCATATACATATACATTTGTTGCATAAACATACGTATACATACATGCACAGACCTGTGCATGTACAAGGCTCGCTCGTAACCCATTGCGAGGCAAGTATTACCCTAAAAATTGAAACCCTAGGGCATAAACGTTTCTTTAAATGAAGCAGGACCATCGGGTCTGCCTTCAAAAGCCCTACGAAGCCATAAACCGGGCTTCAATAATTAGAGCAGGGTTTTGGGCTATATTGTAGTATAAGAGTATAAAGACAGTACGGGTGCTGATGCAAAGCTCTATAACATCGCAAGCCCAAAAAGGCTGGCTTTCTGGCGCGGCAGGGGGTGCGCTGCCTGGAGCACCTCGGCGTAGGGCCCGGAAACAGCTTGGAATTGGGGTTCCCAGTTCAGGTTTGGAACGTGTGGGTTCACGGTTTTAGGGTTCAAGATTTTGGGATATTTTGGGGTCTACGGTCTAGGGCTTTGGTTAAGGTCTGCGACTCGGGTTTCCCATAATCGTCGTCACGTGAACGGCAGGGCACCACGCATCCCTTTTCATTTGAAGCGGGTGGTGGTTCAACCAGCGACATGAAGGATGCAAATAGCTCCAGGGCCTGGCAGGGACCACATCGATAGCAATGACGGGAACTATCGCCAAAAGAACACGTGATTCAACAAGCAGCGAGCCAGACATTTCGCCTCCGCAAGGCTGGAGTATCTGGATGTGATCGACCCGGAGACTCGGAAGCCTGTTCCCAGAGATGGGCAGACGATCCTTGCCGGTTACCGGAAGCCCCGAATGCCCTGCTCTCGTCCCGAAATAAAGCCCACATCGCCCAAACCCAAAAAGCTCTCAATCCTCAAAGCCCGAAGTTGTCGGCTTGACTGCACAGAGTCCGCATGTCCAAACGCCACTGCATGAGAAGCCCAGGATCGGCGAGATCGTCATGAGTGGCAACACCATCATGAAAGGACCTGTGGATTTGGATGTAGGGCTTTTGGCAAGTTTTTGTCTTTTGCCGTTGGCTGTGGGGTTTTCGGCTATCCGGGTTTTGTGACTGGGAGCTTTGCGTGTTTTGGGTTCGGGCTTTGAGCTTCAAGGCGTCCATCGCACCCTCAGTCGTAACAGACACCTCACATGTCAATGTCTGAGCATGAGCTCGGAACCCTAAGTTGAAAATCCGCTCACCTCCAACGAACCACAGTGATATCAATCATGCTGAGAAGAATGGCAGCGACACCGGCCTACGCAGAGAGGATACTTCAAGAACCCGGAGGCCACCGCCAAGGAATTCAAGGGAGGTGCCGCCACCTCAGATGGGGATAGGATGGGGATAGGATGCCCGGATTTAGGGCCTTGTTGGTCTGGTATCACCCCCTGCCCCCGATGCAGAGCGAGACTGCAGCGAGGTCTTCAACACCGGCGACCTAGGCGTCGTCTATCCTGACGGCTACATCCAGCTGAAGGATAGGTCCAAGGACCTCGATTCTGCGGTTGTTGTGCATGTTCGCAGGGGCTTGCTGATGTTGCAGATGGAGAGGTTGAATAGATGTTTGCAAAGTCCTTGTGGGGTTTTCCAAGCGTTTGCAAGCTTCCGGAGAATGATTGCAGGCACAAGTGCCGACTATGAAGGATTGCAGGGTTCGGGCATGCAGACAGTGCTACAGGGGTGCCGGGGTGTACGAGCTTGTTGCGTCGCCCGGATCCACACGCCGGGTGTACCCGACCTTCTCCGTCACATGTCCCTGTTACGTAGGGCAGCAGTGGAAGCTGTTCTGAGGCAGTTGTTATGGCCCGAGGCCCTCCTGTAAACCAGTGTCCCAGGGTCTCAGAATGTCAATGTCTTCAGGCTTTGCTTCAGGGTGAATCAGGACATCATCATCTCAGGCGGCGAGAACATTTCGTCCCTGGAGGTCGCCCATCAATCCAACGACTGCAACTAACACATTGCACGTGTTGTTAAGGGGTTCCAATATTTTCCTGGGTTCGCCGTGCAGATGTGTCATCCGGTTGTGCTTGTTTTGAAAAGGAGCTCCTCCAATTCGAGGAACCAGAGTTGACTTTATAGCTTCAGGGACTTGTTTTCAAGCAAACCAACAATGGCGGTGCTTCGGAATGCTTCATGTTCCCCTCAAGGCTGTCTTAGCAAGAGCCGAGAGAGAAACAGGAACCTCTCGCCTCTCGCAGGTACCTATAAGTTCGATTAAGCGCCTCGGGTTACATGCCGATGCTGGCCGGCACGCAACCGCCAAGTCTGAGTCTCACACGGGTTGCGGGATCGCTGATCCCCAGACCCTATCCCCTGCGTAGATTCCCAATCGTCTGTCAGTTACAGCAAGCCATGCAAAGCCAAGGGCCGGAGGGACTCCCAAGCTCGAGAAACAAAGTGCCTGCCCTTCTAGCCCTAGACCGGAGGTGGAAAGCATCATGATGGGAAACCCAAAGATCGCAGAGGTAGCGGTCGTTGCCAGGTGGGTGTTAACATGAGTGTCCAGTTATCTCCAGGATCAGGAATGTTCGCCACCGACTCCTCGTCCATAAGCGTCGGGCGTGTGCTGGGCCATGTTGTGCAAGTTTTTTTTTCTGACGCCATAGAACCAGAACAACCCCTTGAGAGGCCTGAACAAAACCGACACCCAACCACCACATCCTTGCACCGAGCACACGCACAGAGACAGAGAGACAGAGAG